AAAAGTTTTTTGCAGATGCTAGTTTTGTTTGTGCAAATCCAAATCCTGATTTTGTTGGAATTTTTGACATTTTTATACCTACAACTTCATGATTATCAAAACCAAAGAATCGTAAACTAACAGGATTGCTCATCCTGAGTAGGCGTACGTTCGCCGGCTCTCGAGTCCACAAAATCTGCGAGTGACGTCACCAAGTCAGCAGCTAATAGTGGTGACGTCACCCGCAGACCTCGATGAAATGTTTGCGATTCAGGCTCGTTATTTGATTTTTGCGTCGATTTTGAATGTAGAAATAGCTATTTATGTAAAATGAGCGTGTTTTTGCACTAAATGTGAAGATTTGATGGAAAAAGCGGGACAATTCACGTGAAAAGCGGGACCGATTAACAAAATGCGGGACTGTCCCTCCTAAGGTGGGACGTCTGGCAACCCTGGTCGAGCCAAACTATCATCAGAGTAAATTTACGATTGTTCAAACACTTGGAATAATAACTCAATTTTTTTTTGACAACTGACAAGCCTACATACAATATTATGACTTTTGACAATTGACGAGCTTATTTTCAGGACCATCTACGATTTTTATAACTTTTTTTGTCAATTGACAGCCTTGTGATACAGATTGATGCCTACAACAGCAACGTTGCCACATTTTAACGGTAATTTTGGAGCATTTGTAATTGTAAATGTAAAACGTTGACAAATGGCAATTGACATCAAGAAACGATTGTTTTGATGTTGTAGGCTGATTGAAATTTTTAACTTTTGGCAACAGTGTAACGCTAGAGGATTGAAATGGCGTTTTTTTTAAATCATGAGCCAGAAGGGCGAGAGTGTTTTCAATCTTGAGCGCACAGGGCAACAAAAAAACGCCATTTTGTATCGAGTTTTAAAGAAAACAAGGCCTACTTTGAAACGTCAATTTTTTATCGTTTGTTGTATCATAAGCAGTATTGCCACATGTTTTTTTCAAATCTCCAGCCTGAATTGCCGGTTTTGTTTTAATTACGTTACGAGTCTGAAGGGCCGAGGTTATACGGACCCCAAGGGCCGGAGTCATATGAGTCCGTTTATTGTCAACTGCTCTTGCCAGTAAACCCATGTGTCAGGTCATCAGTAAATATTTATTGTAATAAGTACCTATACATTCAAATTACCACTCGGTATAGGAAATAGTTAATAGATTTATTTGTCACTCATTTGTAAAACGTCACTTATCAAGTCAAAACATAAACAACGAAAATTGATTTTTACAAGCTACTGGCTCTACTGACTTGTAAAATTGACAGCTAAACTGTAAAAACTTTTTACAAGTCAGTAGAATTATTTATTTTTAAAAAATCAGTTTTATCACAAGAATAATTGCTTGTAGGTACCTTCTGGTAGACTTTTCTGGTGGTAAACTATTAGCTACGACTGTAGCACATTCATTTCTGGAAAAAAATTGCAAAAAATGGAAATCTGTCAGTAAAGCTATTTTTAACTAAAAACAACGACTTAACAACATCTCATTCTTATAGGTATACCAACTACCAACTTGTATCAGAAAAAATTAAGGAAAAACGTATAAATTTCAAAATTTTGTTATATGTATTAATTTTTTATTTGTCCCTATATCTTTTACAAATGAGTAACAAATAAATTATTGTACATTATACGCCAGGTAGCAGTTTTTAATGGCTCTTGAAGGTGACAAGCTCGCCTGACGGCTCGCTAGTCATTTCCTTCAATCGCCAGTAAAAACTGTTTTACCTGGCTAATAATGTAAAATACTATTGTACAGCATTTCGTTCAAGAAAGTTAATCTTTTTTTCTCTTCTTTTTCATGGAATTATTGTTTTTGGGTATTTTTTTATTATTGAAACCTCATATTTAGGTCCGCAAGAGGTTCTAGCTGTTTCTCAGTTTCTTAGTTTTTTAGTCACTTACTGAACTTTCGTGGATACACATTGATTTTGTATATTTATTTACCAGTATTTTACGCAGAACGGTTTTTATCATTTCCCAGTTAATTTAGAATAAAGAGTTTATTTTGTTTAAATAGGGCTTTTTATTTTACGAACCGTGTTTCCGAGTATAACGGGTAGTTGTATTTCGGGGCACAAGACACCATGGCTATGCAACCAGAAGTTCCACATTCTGCTACAAAGAAGAAGCCCTTCCAGAAATGTTCTCAAGTTAAACTACATATTCATTTAAGGAATAGCAAAACTTTGGTGCAAATTTTCGATATCAAAGAACCACTTGCATCTAGTGGTGGGAAAATATCGAATTCAAAAACTATCGATATATCGATAGTACTATCGGTTTAAAAATATAACCTAGAACTGAAATGAAAAAGAAAAAACCATTTATTTTGATAAATGAATAACAACATATTTATATTTTTAGATTTAAGTTTGAATCTTTTAACTGTCAAAATATTACCAGCCTTCGAGAATAACCGTTCCGAAATGGAAGCGTTGCCCCAGGGATGATACACACTACTACTACAGGATGGCTTATCCTTATAAGGCTTATGTGTAACAAATCCCCCCCTACCTCCCTACGCCAAACAACCAGTTGTGACGTAAGCAGCATGACGTTTCTCGCCTTGACATAGACTCTTTAAACAGCTGACGACTTAGTTATGACGTCGGAAATGGTTGAAAACAGTTGAAAACCAATATGGCGACGATTACCAAAAACGAGGCCGATAAGCACTTCTTAGAGTGTGTATTCTCCTTGGCGTTCCCCGACGTCGACCATCTGTCACTTGTCACTCCGTAACTCCTGTCAGAATTCAGCATCAGATATCGACCAATATCGACCTGTCACCATTCCTAGTCAGAAAGCGCTTTTTTTTATTCACCGATAGCTCCATCGATGACCTGTCCATCTTTGTCTAGTTCATAGAAAATCGGAATGGCTGTCTCATAATGCTTTCAGCAGATGGATCTATCGATGAATAAAAGAATTCGCCCAGTGTTACCAATTTGATAATATAAAATTCGATGGTATTCGATAGTCTAAGGAAAATTATCGATATTTCGATATTTTTAATTCCGCAATGAACTATCCATATATCGATAGTTTCATTCGATAGTTTCCCACCTCTACTTGCATCCATGCGCATTTTTGTTGAAATATCATTTATATGTTAGTAGGTATGTTTTGTTATAAGATTAATTCTTGACAATAAACTTTGAGCAACACATTGACTCCATAGTAGGCTTGTTCCATTCATATTCTCCTTTGGCATATACCCATATTTCATTGTGCATTTACTTACGATAACATAATAGTATATTGTGTATTTAGGTGGAAAAGTGACACATTCTCGGCCGACGGTGTAACTTGACGGGCGAGGCGTAGCCGAGACCGGCAAACACCGAAGGCCGAGAATGTGCTTTTCCACCGAAATACACATACTATTTTTTCTGCGATCGGTTAAATACCTGTTAAATGTTTTTCTTTTAGTTCCAATTATTCAGCAATACGAGAATCACTTTCCCGGCCTAGGCCGGAAAAGTGTTTCCCGTATTGTTATTCATTGATTCCTTAGCAACTATTGAAACATAATTGAAATTCCAGAATATTGAGTTTTGCGACCTGTCAACCGGTCAAAAATGCTGACATTTCTTGTCAAACGCAGAAAATATAGTTTGTAGGAATCGAAATATACCTATAATTTCCAAACCCAAAGAAACTGCAAAAATAGAGTTGTCAGTTGCAATTAGGCTGAAAGAAAAGTTAATTTTATGCTAAACTACGGTAACAAACACCAAATTATAACATTTTGATTGATAGGTAAACGGCATAAGGTACCTCACCAAGCAAAAACCTATGAGTCAAATTTGATTCAACTTTCTCTTTCTAGCCTGAAAAATTTTGTTTGCTCATTTTACCCAATATTTTTTCATTATGTCAGGCACTATTACCTACTGTACCACCTTTTAACAAACAAAAAATTAAATTTAAAAACTCTACTAGAAACGATATTCCTAATTTAGAGTACCTAAATTCCTTAAAGATACTTGGCTTTTTAGCTACAATTTCTTTTTTCTGTGACTAGATGAGTATTATATGTTTTTTTTTTACCTAATTTTAATTTAAATCTAAATAATGTTTTTTTTTTTAGTTACTCGTTTACTTCTGCGTGTTTTGTCTTTTTTTTTTCTGTAATAACAATTATTATTTAAGAATAGTGAACGCTTTCTAGTAAAAATATTGTCAAAATTTGTTTAGCTGTGGCAAGCGTCACCACATCTAAATAGAAGTTTAACTAATTATTTAACAAAAAACAAAAATATAAATTAACATTCATAAATAATTAAGTAATATTGATACCCAAAGCAAAATTATCACCTAAAAGTTTCTCTTTTTCATTAACATTAGGTATACCTACTATCACAATGAAATAATAAAAAAATACATCAACTTCCTAAATAAGATCTGTTTAAATAATCATAATTCACTTCACAGAATTTATATTTTTTTTAAGCACGCATTAGAACCAAACTTTATTGCCAATTAAATTCTACAATTCCTACCTAATTTGAAATTAGGCAAATTTTTCATTTTTCTCGATTGTTACATTCAAAGTTATAGTTATCGGCACAAATTTACATAAATGCATTCAATCTGGGTTAGTATTATCAACATGCCCTAATAATTTTTCACTAAATTAAATCAAAATAATCTATAGGTATTCGAAAAGGAACTATGTATATTATTTACTACCAAATACCCATCAATAAGTACTGTTTTTAGTAAGTATTTACGTTTCACTACATTATTTCTAGTAGTTGATTGTCGCATTAAAATCCCAACAACGTGACTATATCGTTTGTCAAATTTATCATGTTGAAATCTCATACCGGTCACCGGAAAAAGAACATTACCAATTACCAAAACATTGCCAAACATTTTTCTCGTTTCGGAAGGATTTAAAGGTATAACAGTTTTTGTCCCCCTGACCAGCAGGGTGAAAAATTATACCATTATGCCGCTGGACTCACCGTCGGCTCGTGCTAGGCGGGTTTCGAATTCTTTTTGGAGAGCGATTCGAGCCTGAAAAAGAAAAAAAAAGTTGTTATTTTTCTAGCGATATTTGAAATAACTATTGACATACTTCTCAATTATTGTGTTCGTACGCAGTTATAAATAAGGCATATGTATTACGATTTTTGAATAGGATATTAAACGGATAAACATCAAGAATACCGAAACCGATACTTTCTCCATTTTTGACAATTTGAGATAGGTACTGAAAATTACTTAGTACCTACCTATTGAGGAAAACCACCCATTTAAAATATTATTTCTTCAAATCCTAATCGCGCGCTATCAAATTTAGGGGACCGCGTTCGAGCCGTACTGCGAACGGGACACAGAAGAGAATAGGTAACTAGACGCTAGACTGGAGAACAGACTGGTTCCTTTAAACGCGTGTCTGTAATTATTCATTATTCAATTTTCATTCCTATTTTGCATTAAAATTAATTGTTCAATCCAATTTGTTATTAGTGTGTGTGTCAAGGAGCAATCACCAGGTCAGTTAAATAATTATTATTTTGTTTTTGAGAGTTCAATTTACGCAAGTATTATGTTTTTTTCAAATTTGATGTTTTTTTGTTTGTTTATAACAATTTTTTATAACATGTGCATTGTTCATGTATTTAACCAAAATCGTTTCATGCTGTAAACAACACAGATAAAGAGTAAATTAAAACCTAAGAAATTATGTGCTGTCTTTTTGTGCTGAGATTTCGATTTTGTGTATTCAGAACGTGCATTAGGGCCTTGTTAAATTTACTAACATTTTCCTACCCTGACGAGAGAATATCCTAGCAAATTGAGAAAAATCAATCTAGAGATATTGGCTCAAAAACAACTATAGCTGGGTAGCATCCCGTATGGGACCTCAGTACCTTCCGGTAGACCGGCTAACTAACAGAAAAACTCTTCAGTATTGATTATAGGTAGTGTTGATTGAATGTAGTGTGTGTAATTAAAATTTTAGCACAAGAACAAAGGATGGTACCTAATTTAAACTTTTATTGGCTCAAATTATTGAATTATTGACCCACGATGATTATTTGAAATGACACAGTATGTTTCAATTTTTGAGGAATGTTAGACCGAGGGTTTCTCTGCCGTGCTCTTTCCCCTCGTTAGTTCCAGGTCGAGAACGGTATGTTTTTCTTTGATGTTTCACACATTTTTCGTTTCTTTTACATATCACAACTTCCCTTAAATTTCCCAAATATTTGCTATGTCGGACGCATGTCCAGTAAGTAAAATTGAGTAAGTTTCCACAACGTAGGTCCTATTTGTTTTTTATTTCATTTTTCAGAAGATTTGTTGTTTTAAAGGTAATAAAAATTCTCATCGTCCAGTCTTACTGAACGAACCTGGGTATGTTATACTACACTATCTTATAAAAAATACGCCGCCACTGGTGAGGTTTGCCATTGCCGTCGCCAACTGTGCTCCACAATGGTGCTCCATAAGGATTTTTTAGCGACTAATCGTTTGTAACCATGTTATAAACGGTTACTGAAAATCTCTAACCGTTGAAATTTTATCGAAGCAGCGTTAATAGGGGAAGTTATTATGACGTCAATAGATAAAATCAATGACGTCACGCATTTATACCACGGTATTAAATTCAGTAACCTATGAAGGACCTGGGTTAGGACACTTTCCAAATTTCACCGATAAATTGACCGGTTAAAAAAACCGGTAGCTGTCAAAAAGTTCCGGTAATAGATAGGTGTAAGTCCGGTTGCAAGATTTTTCTGATGCATTTTGGAATGCTTTGGTGTGTTCAAATTTGGTGTTGAAGGTTGTATTTCAACAATTTAACGAACGACTGCTGATAGTGCCAGGCCCAGGGGCCCAATTCTGTAAGGAACGAACCGTTCGATTCGGTAAAATTTCTTCGATTGTGACGTCATTTTCGGTTTGGTAGCGTGAAAACCAAACCAAAAATGACGTCACAATCGAAGAAATTCTACCGAATCGAACGGTTCGTTCTTACAGAATAAGGCCCCAGTAGGCCAGGCCCGTAGCTAGAGTCAAATGTGTGATAGGACATGAAGAATTTGACATAGGGCATACACTACTTGCCCCCGCCCATTTTTTTTTTTTTTTTGTAGGTAAACAAAATGGGGGTAATGGCGCCGAAGGTGAATTTTTCAATAAATAACATCTTTGGCAAGTAAACAAAATGGCGCGCACAGGCAATAATTTTTAAGCAACCTCTAGGTACTTACTCGATTTCATTATCTAGATCTAGGTACTCTTAAATTTTCTAGAGAAACCTGAATAGTGCCCATTCAAAGCATAGAGTTTGATGAACGTCAAAAAAGTCTCAAAAAATCTCCAACCGAAAAATAGGAAAAAACCGACAAAAATTCCCGGTGGATCCGGTGCCTCACCGGTTTCAAACAGCTGATCCATTCCAAAATGTACCGGTAAAAACCCGGTACATTTTGGAAAGGTTTGGTGAGTAAACTATTAAACCGGTATCGCACCGGTTCAGAAACCGGTCAATTTTGGAAAGTGCCCTTACTGGCGGTTATAGAACATTTGACAGTTGACAGTTGGATTTTATTCAAATTTTCAAATATGGGCGTTTAGGTTTGTTTACCTTACTCTAACGTCGAACGCGAAAATTAGATTATTTTTGCGGGACGTGGACGTGGGTTTCTGGTTGTTAGTTTAAACATAAAATGTGACAAAACGCTCAGTATGAACGTGTAATATCCAATTCATTCCTTGGAGATCCAGGGCTAGCACTCTCTAACAAATAGAGATATTTTCTCTATCTCTATTGATGTCCCCTCTCTATTGATTTCGAAAAGAGAGAAGAAGACAGCAAGTGCCATAGCGATAGGAATAACGATCTCAAGCTGTTACAGAGTCCCAACCCAGGGGACCAACATGGCAGAAAATAATGTAAGTAACTTTAAACAATGAAGGGAGGATCGTCTGTGTTCCCTTGGATCTAGCGAATATACTTCTTAATCTTAATGGTGGTACCTACCTACACAAAGTCCAAAGAGTACATTTTTAACAGTTTTCAATTTCAATTTATGTGTATTGATCTGTATTGATAATCCCGCCATATGTTTTTTGTTTGTGTGCCAACCAGACGCCATTTTTGACAGGTGTATATATAACCTCAATTTTGTATAATCGCTTTCTATAACTGGTTCGTTTTTGCGAAAAAAAGGTTTAATAACAAACTTCATTAGGTGGGGGTAATTTTGACAGAACACCAGTGGTGAAGGTAATAACCGTACGGTTATATAGCTCGTGATAATACGGATACAAACGGTTACTCGCTAAAAAATCCTAGTCTTTTCGACTGACAAGTGACAAATGTCCAATGCCATCATGAAAATGTAAGAGAACTTGCCGTTTTGCCTCGACCCATTTTCTTTGATTTTTTTCCGTTATTTTGTACAGTCTATTATTTTCTAAACAATAGTCCTTGTGAAGGTTTTGTTCCTCACGATTCTTGGGTTCTTGTACCAATGTCTCTAAAATGAGTTTGTCTCTATCATCAACCAGTTGTGCACTGAGTACCCAGTTCTCATTAGAAATATAAATATCAACGACAAAAAAATCTGCACTCATTACAGGATTCCGACAAGTGCATCAGCATGTGCCATTTTAAGACCAGTTCCGTATTCAATATTGAATGTGAATTCTTGGATTGAAATAGAATCACCATCTTCTAATACGAGGTATCAAATTTCTTTTACAGAGCGTAGTTCTGACCGCATTACAATCTGTGACAACCTTGAATTCAACTCCTCCTCCTAGTGGTTATCATCAGATTTTAATCGAAGAGTCGTCAATTCCCAAGACTGAGTTTATCACGCCTGAAGACCATTACGAATATTTGCGTGTTCCTTTCGGATTATGTAATGCTCCCGCGATTTTTCAAAGGACAATTAATAAAGTCTTAGAAAATCTTCGATATGGAAATGGTAATATGATAGCTTATATGAATGATGTGCTTCTACCTCGAAAAGATTTTGATTATGGTTTAGTCATGTTGAAAACAGTGTTTGAATGCATCAGAGCAGCTAGTCTAACTTTAAAATTATCCAAGTGTCAGTTCTTTTTGGAGAAAGTGGAATATCTTAGTCACGAGATATGCAGATCCGGTGTTCAACCTGGAAAACAAAAATCTGAAGTTATCAAAAGCTATCCAGTCCCCCCGAATGTTCATAAAGTTCGACAGTTTGTTGGGTTCGCTAGCTACTTTCGGAAGTATATAAAGGACTTTGCTACGATCGCTCGTTCTTTGACATCATCCCTAACGAAAAAGGATGTTACATTTTATTGAACAAAGTAAACCTTTTGATACTCTCAAGGTAAAATTATCATCACGACCAGTACTAGCTATATGTATATGATCAAAGTTTAAAAACCGAAGTGCATAAGGATGCATCAAAATGGGGTATTGGTGGTGTAATGATCCGAGAAAATAGACCCATAAATCACAATGTCTTTACTGTAAAAATTTAATAATTATCAAATAATCAAAAACTTAATTTCCGGTATTCTTAAATCAGTATCGATAAATTAAAAATGAAACAAATTAACGCTAACGTATCTCGACACCCAGCGTGATGTCATCCTAACACCCGATCAATGAACTTTTTTAGCGAGGCCATCAGGGTAATTAATTTGATGATTTATGGCATTCTTGAACCAATAATGTTTTGACCTCGATAAATCAGGATATTGCGACATAATTATTCGTTTTTTGGACTAAAAATAATAAAAATCCTAAGGAGATTGCATCATCTTAATTGTCATGGACACAGAAATTTCGGTGGGGTATCAAAAAATATAAATACCGCGTTTTTAGAAGTGGAAGGCAGTTGCCAGTTAGCAGATGAGTTATAGTTGAGAGATGAATTCGCAGTCCTGTCCAGTCTGAGTAGAAATCCGCGAAAATTTTCTTTTATGGCCTCGGTACCAGTCTTTGAAAAAGTAGCGGAAAGTTTTGAAAGAAAGAACAATTAAATTCGTCAACATTTATGTGCGTGCTAGCTAAAGATTTTGAAGTTAATTAAATTAGTAATTGTACGTGTGAAAAGTTAAATGTAAGTACTTTAGGGTTAATAATTTTCTGACTTTTATCAATGATCCTGAATGATAAGAAGTGAATTAACAAATGACTTTCATAAACTTGAGTGATTTTTACTAGAAATACTTTTGACTTTATAAACTTGAGTGATTGTTACTAGAAAACTTTTGACTTTTAATTAACTGTGGAACTTTATTGCATTAATATTAATAACTCGAGTGTTTTATAAATGGACCATTATTGCATAACTTTAATTGCCTTCAGATATAATGACATTCTAATTTAATTTTGCACCAAAAATATGAAGGGAACTTATAATGCATTTAACAATATACAATTTTGAGTTGGAATTATGAATTAAACAGTTGAATTTATTTGCTAGGCATAGGAATCCGAAAATAGAATTTGTTCTGATTAAATAAACTATCAAATGGAATAGGAAATTTTGAAAGGAAAATTGATGTTCATGAAATAGAATTAGTTGTCTTAAAATATTGGAAAATTGTTGTTCATGAAATGAATTTTGAATTAGGATTTTTATTTTTCAAGTAGAAATTATTGTAAGGTTTTATAAGAATAAGTTAGTAATACCTATATTGATAAACAAATAGGTAATTATTTTGGGTTTTTCATAAGCAGTCAGTAAAGGACTTAGAAATTTTAAAGAATTTAGAGAAATAGGTGAAGGGTAGTTTATTAGGAATGAATCGGAAGTTTTGAAATGAGTTAACTTATAAGTTATTAGGAATAGTAGGAATAGGGCGTTTCTTTATTAGTAGGGATATTTCAGTGGTCCGTAATAATAACAATTTTAGAACGGATGTGAAGTAATTGATTTTATAGAAATAAATGAGGCTGTCAGAATTGGAAGATATTTTGCTGATTTAGATTTTGGGTTTTATGTATAATAAAATACAATTTAGTACACCTCAATAGTTTGTTTCTCTCTCTTGCAAATAGACCCTTCCACAGATTTTAGGTAGCAGCTCCAAGTAAATAAACACCATCGATATACCGCTCGCCATTTACCATCTAACTAATTACATAGAGTACTTGGGGCGTTTTGCTACAGGATGCTCATTAATTTCACTCCCTATCATTCCAAAGCTCTGTATGGTATGTAATTTCTTTCATTTAATTTCAGTATAACTTGTTAATAACTTACTGTATATTCTTTGTTTTTCTTTCATTTCCTTAACAAGAATAACCATTTGTTCAATAAACCATTGATAGAGTTTAGTGAGAGAAATTGATTCTTTTATATTTCTTTTGGAAAACCCCGAGCTAGTATTCCAACTAATTGCGTACAGCTTAGGTAGCAAGAACCCGCACTGGAAGGGGCAATCTAAGTCAGATTACTAAAAAGTATCCGTTCGAAGTTACCTAGATTTTTAGTGGGACTTTAACCAAAGCTACTGCAGTACAAAAAGGCCTTTACCAGTGCTAAAACAAAGTCTCCCTTACCCAACCGTCGCAACCAGGTGGCGGTGGTAACATTAATATATGTTTCACGTTCAAATTGGTAACATTTCTTATTAGAAGCAGCGTTGGGATTCACCTACAAAACTGGTGAAAAATAGTGCCGTTTGTTTAGTGTACAAAAATAAATAACTGGGATGATGATATCGAGTCCTTAAAAATATGCAAGGTCGACAGCGGTCTTGCCAAGAAATGGTAAGAACAACTACCCACCTATGATTTGACCTGGGAAAAATGGAAATGCTTATTGCTAAAATCGTTCCCGTAGAACATCAGGATTATGCTACAGCTCTAAGGGATATGTTGGGTAGGTACAAGAAACTAAACGAAACTCGGGAAGAATATTATTTTGGAAAAATGGAGTTGGATATTTCCAAAAAGAATGTTGATGGTGTATCGGATTAGACCATAAAATTAGGAGCTCAAGCAGGTAGATACAATTCTCCAAACAGAATGTATGTACTCTGAGTATTCTTCTGCATTTAAATCTGAGCCTTCTTACAATTTCAAAGACAAAAGGCGATATTACACAGACAATGTGCACCAACGATTGGGACCACCTGAGAAGAAACCTAAATTTGTATATTTTGACCAGAAATCTGAAGAAAAATAATATAAGTGCACTTTGCATCCAAATGTCCTAAAGCTAAAGTAGAATGCATAAAATGTAAGCGTTTAGGGCAGGTTGAAAAAGATTGCCGTAGAAATTTTGTCAGAACCAATTTGTGTTGTCAAAGCCTACTTCTTCGATTGTTTAGTTAGACGAAAAGCTAACAAGGTGTTATGTGGACACAGGCTATGGTGCTGTGTTAATTAAAGAAGAAATAGTCACATAATTAGAGCTAACGTATAAGCTTAGCTCAATGGTTATATCAGGCTATGGAGGATCTGTCGTCTATGCCTCAGATGAGCTTGATATCAGCCGTGTGTATATACTCCCGAAATTAGCTAGTTATAACCCAACAAACTGTCGAACTTTATGAACATTTGTGGGGACTGGATAGCCTTTAATAGCTTCAGATTTTAGTTTTGCAGGTTGAACACCAAATCTGCATATCTCGTGACCAAGATGTTCCACTCTCTCCATAAAGAACTGACACTTGGATAATCTCAATCTCAATCTCGGTACCACTCTTACAAGACCAGCTGCTCTAAAGCATTTAAACACTGTTTTTAACATGACTCAAAATATTTTTGGGGCAGAAGCACATCATCCATATAAGCTATCACATTACCATTTCCATATCGACGATTCCCTAAGACATTATTAATTGTCCTTTGAAAAACCGTAGGAGCATTACATATTCCGAAAGGAACACGCAAATATTCGTAATGGCCATCGAGCGTGATAAATGCAGTCTTGGAAATTGACGACTCTTCAATTGGAATCTGATGATAGCCACTAGGAGGAGGAGTTGAATTCAAGGTTGTAATGCGGTCAGAACTACGCTCTGTAAAAGAGATTTGATAACTCGTATTGGAAGATGGTGGCTCTCAATCCAAGAATTCACATTCAATATTTAATACCGAACTGGTCTTAAAATGACACATGCTGATGTACTTAAGCCTAGTTCTCATGGCGTTGCGGGTGCGGAATATCGCTTTCCGTTCAAGAAATTTTTTTTGCCGGTTCACATGAAGCGGGATTCCGGAAGCGGATTTTTAGTTATATTTAAGGTATTTCACATTGCATTTTAGTGATTTTTATCGAATGTCGTAGGTACCATATATCATATCTTACATGTGACAGTAAGAAGTGACAAAGGGTGAAAACTCGCGCGATATCGCATTTTCCGCGATTTTCCGCTCCATGAGAACTAGGCTAGCAATCAAATTCGCCATATGCGAGCCTTATTTTATTGGCCAAAAAGAAAACAGGTCAGGTGCGTATGTACGTAAACTACCGAGCGTTGAATGCAAAAACGGTTAGGGACGTATTTCCGCTACCAAGAATGGATGATCATATTGAACGTTTAAGAGGAAGCAAGCATTTTACGTAACTTGATAGGGCATCAGGCTACCACCAAATACCAATAGCTGCAGAGCCTAGAGCGAAAACAGCATTCATTGCGCCGGATGGGCATTATTAGTATACACGAATGCCATTTGGATTAGCAAATGCTCCAGCTGTATTTCACTGAAGTATTTACCTAGTTCTTGGATCATGAGGATTTAATACATCACTGGCCTACATGGCCTACGCTGGACTTACCCTACGTATGACTAAATATTTATGTTTTTTTGACAAACCATTGATTATTTGGGACATGAGATATCGGCGGAGGATGTCAGACCAGGAAAATCGAAAATAACCGCAGAAGAAAAGTTTCCAGTTCCTAAAAATGTCCAAGAGGTGAGGTAGTTTTTAGGACTTGTCAGTTATTTTCAGAAAATACGTCAAGAATTTCGCTTATATCGCAAGACCAAAAACCACACTTACTAAAAACACCGAAACATTTTGTTGGAATAAGGTTCATATCTGAAGGATGTAGAACAGAAGAATAATCACAAGGAATATGTTCTAAAAGACAAACGTAGTTTTGCATTAGAGAAAACTTTGTCTGCAACTTTCGAAAACTTTTTCAGGTTCCGGAGCTTCTGCAACTGATGGCACAAATAATATGCATGTCAGGTTTCACCTTCATCAGACACTGTGAACAGTACCAAAACTACAAAAATATTGTTCCCATATTCGAAATACTGAATTCATTACTAAATTTGTAGCAAAGGAAACAAAAATAAATCATGTTGATTCATGGGATTTAGGCAGCATTTCAGTATTACGGATGATATATTTGCCAGAAGGTAGGCAGCCTAATTTTGCAGTCATATCTATCTTGGAAGAAAATACAGATAAGTCAAAAAAATTCTTACTTTTTCTTTATGTTCCTGGAATTGTTCCCTAACAGCCTCATGTTTTTTCTCGAGCTCCTCTTTCCTCGAATCGAAAAGCCGACTCAGTTTTTCCCTCTCCGACACGCCTCGATCCACAACGGCCGATACCGCTTCCCTTTTCACTCTTGTAAATTGTTCTCGATTCCTATGCTTTTTCGCCAACAGTTTCACTTCGTCCCTGTGGTCTTGCTGTAACTTTCGCATCAGTTCCGATGTTTCCTTGTCAAACTGATCCTAATTTATACAGGTATTATTTTAAATACAAAAACTTCAATAGAAAATTTTACCTTTAAAGCTTTCACTTGATTATTCTGACTCTGCTTCATCACTTTTTCGGCGGTATTGAAAATCGAATCGTGGAACCGTTCGCGCAGCTCCTTTTCTTGCGTCATAAACTCCTTGCTGATGGCCAAGAGACGTTCCGATTGGCTGCGCGGCAGCCCGCGTTCTGACGGGTCTGCGCAGGTACTTGTAGCACCTTCTGCTTCGTCCGCTACTGAAGTCAGCGGTTCTGCGCTTGGAGATTCAGTGGAAAAGACGCCGCTCACGCTGGTAAACAGGCTAAGAGGTGAGATTAAAGTGTAATGTTGTAAGCGTGGGTGGTGTTAAGAGTGAAACTTTTCAAATGTCAACTTAAGTGAAATATCTTATTGTTCTTGTGTTTATAACTAAACTGAAGAAAAATATACTTACATGTTTTTACTGGAGAGTCTTTTAACCAACTTCATGTTAATTAATTTTGACCGTTTTTCAGAAAAGTCGCCGCTTTTTTGCGACACCAATGTTTGTTTTTTCTTTTCGTGTTTTTTCCGGAGAGCTTCCAATTTCTTATCAAGTTCCAACTTTTTCTCTGTAACAACGTCATTACCTAACAACAATACAATCGTAAACAATATGCTCTTACCTTTGACTAGTTTATTCTCCAAAATCTTGTCCAATGAATCCGCAACAATTTCCTCGATTTTTTCCTCAATTTTCACTTCGACTGGCCGATTTAAAGAGTTGGTGTCCGGATTAGTATTCGGACCGATATGGTGAACCGTTAATGAGGTCGTTACGTTTCCCGTTATGCTTTCGTTAGTTACCAACTCAATTGATGTGGAACCACCTATTGAACTTCCTATTGGTATCGAGGGGCGTTGACCAGGACTTCCGTTAACTTGTTCTTTGATATTCTAAATTGATTGATTTAATTAACATAGCTATTCACGGGTTTTTAGCATGGTCACACGTCGTTAGTCAAGTGCAAGATCGACATTCCCTCCTTGAGAGAGGAAAACATTTTTTTTTCATAATTTGTAGAGATTTAAAGATTCTCTACCAAACTAACATTGAATCCGTTATCCGAAAATGAAACGGCTCTAAGTTAAAAATATTCAGTGTTGCCAGGTCATATTTTTTGTCAGTAGATTACCAGTCTAAATATTAATAGAAATCAGTAAACAGATAAGTTGCCTTGTTAAAGGGGCAAACCATTAGAGTATACTCAATTAATTATTTTAACTACGTTTTTTCAAATCATTAGACTATGAAAACTTGCATTAGAAAATGAAACACCAATACCACTTATGAGAAAAAGCTTATTAACATTAAGACACATAAGATAAAAAATAAATATGTACTTATAATATTCCGAGAAAATAGACCTATAAATCACAATGTCTTTACTGTGAAAATTTAATAAATGTCAAATAATCAAAAACAGAATTTCCGGTATCTCCAAATCAGTATCAATAAATTGAAAAAGGGAACAAATTAACATTTAATATTACATTATGTGTTTCGTCATCAAGCCTGTGTCATCTCTTAAATCAATGAACTTAAAAGAGCGAGGCCAAGTAATTATAAATGATTTATGGCATTCTTGAACCAATAATGTTTTGACCTCGATAAATCAGGATATTGCGATTTAATTATTCGATTTTTTTTTAACTTAAAATGATAAAAATTTCAAGGAAATTGCATCATTATTTTTAATAATATTTAGGTCGGCTAATGGAATTGTCTGATTGAGAGTCAAACGACCGCCTATTGACGATTTGGGGGATAATTAATAATACTTTGCGGGGGGATCGATTTAATATAAATACCGCGGTTTTAGAAGAGGAAGGCAATTGTTAGTTGTCAGTTGAGAGATGAGTTTGCAGTCCTGTCCAGTTTGAGTTAAAATCTACAGTACCTAAAGTGTCAGTCCGGAAAGTTTCTTGTATTGCCTAGGTAACAGTCTTTGAAAAAGTAGCGGAAAAATTTTGGAAAAAAGAACAATTAAATTCGTCAACATTTATGTGCGTGCTAGCTAAACATTTTGAGTAATTAATTAAGTAATTTTACGTGTGCAAAGTAAAATGTAAATACTTTAGTGTTTAATAATTTTCTGACTTTTATCAATGATTCTGAATGATAAGAAGTGAATTAACAATGACTTTTAATGCCTAAAAACTTGAGTGATTTTTATTAGAAAAACTTTTGACTTTATAATTAACTGTGGAACTTTATTCCATAAATATCAATAACTCGAGTGTTTTGAAAATTGAACATTATTGCATAACTTTAATTGCCTTCAGATATAATGACATTTCTAATTTAATTTTGCACCAAAAATATGAAGGGAATTTATAATGCACTTACCAATATACAATTTTGACTATTTTGAATAGAGATTATGAATTAAACAGTTGGGTTTATAAGCTAGGCATAGGAATCCGAAAATAGAATTTGTTCTGATAAACTATTAACTGCAATAGGAAATTTTGAAAAGAAACTTGATGTTCATGAAATAGAATTGTTGTCTTAAAATAATGGAAAGTTGTTAAAGGAAACTTATAATAGAATTTGTTCTGATTAAATAAACTATTGAATGGAATAGGAAATTTTGAAAAGAAACTTGATGTTCATGAAATAGAATTGTCTTAAAATATTGGAAAATTGTTGTTCATGAAATGAATTTTGAATTAGGATTTTTATTTTTCAAGTAGAAATTATTGTAAGGTTTTATAAGAATAAGTTAGTAATACCTATATTGATAAACAAATAGGTAATTATTTTGGGTTTTCATAAGCAGTCAGTAAAGGACTTAGAAATTTTAAAGAACTTAGAGAAATAGGTGAAGGGTAGTTAATAGGAATGAATCGGAACTGTTGAAATGAGTTAACTTATAAGCTATTAGGAATAGTAGGAATAGGGCGTTTCTTATTTAGTAGGGATATTTCAGTGGTCCGTAATAACAACAATTTTAGAACAGATGTGAAGTAATTGAATTTATAGAAATAGATGAGGCTGTCAGAATTGGAAGATAATGGGCTGATTAAAAATTTTTGGTTTTATGTATACCTAATAAAATATAATTTAGTACACCTCAATAGTTTGTTTCTCTCTCTTGCAAATAGACCCTTCCACAAATTTTAGGTAGCAGCTCCAAGTAAATAAACACCATCAATAAACCGCTCGCCATTTACCATCTAACTAATTACATAGAGTACTTAGGGCGTTTTGCTACATACTACTTATGGGATGCTCTATATTTAGTTCTATATTCTTGAAGAGTACAATTTCCCGATTCCAAAACTATATAGTTTGTCTATGTTTGGTTGAGCCGGCTCCAACATATTTGGTTCTAAAAATTTTAAAAATACTATCAGAAAAACCAAGTACCTCAAATTTTACCTGCAGCTTTCACCTATACAGGCAGAATGGTTCACAAAATTAGAGGTAGGATAGTATTTTTACAATTTTTGGAGCCGAATACATGAGAGACTTTTCAACCAAATATAGACAAACTATTTATTTTTGGAATCGGGACATTGTGCTCTTCAAAAATATAGAATAAAATATAGGATATCCCGCATTTGATAAAAGCTGGAAGCATGCAAAATTTCACATTTTTGACATACCATGGATTCTAAAAATTCAGCCAAAACTGTACAACTTTTGTTTTTACACCTGTTTTCTACTTCTAAAGGTAAAGGAGGTATAGGTGGAGTGTCAATATATAAAAAAACACCCTGTAAAAATAGGTGAATTATTGCGGAACTTATGGGTGAACCTCTGCGGGACGAGCGCAGCGAGTTCCGCAGCCATCTACTAACCAATATACTGTAGAATTGTTTAAAAAAAACACCCACCTGAAATGTGTAGTAGTTTTTGAACTAATGAGAAAAATTCATAATTGAGTGAATCAGGTTAGTATTGTACTTGTACTTGAACAACATATTGGTGAATAGGTGGCTGCGGAACTCGCTGCGCTCGTCCCGCAGAGGTCCACCCACAAATTCCGCAACAATCCACTCGTTTGTACTTGAATAACTTGTCACAATATATTACTAGTTTGGTAAAATAACATACTAATTCCTGTTGAAAGGCGAATTGTCAAAAAGTGAATAATCATAATCTTACAAATTTTGATTTTATATAATAAGTTATTGTTCAAATATAAATAAGTGAATTGTTGCGGAACTTATGGGTGGACCTCTGCGGGACGAGCGTAGCGAGTTCCGCAGCCATCTACTTACCAATATACTGTTGAATTGTTCAAATAAGACATTCACCTGAAACTAGTGACGTAAATAGCTTTTCACCCTGGGGGGGGGGGGGGGGGGGGTCCAAGTTCAGCGGTGCAGGCAAATTCGCCAAAGGCAAACATTTGTGACAGGATAAAAAGGAATAAAATGGCGGCAATTTGACCAACCGAGACTAACTTATTAAAAATAACTTTTAAATTTAAATAAAAAAGTTCATATCCGTTATAATGGGAATTTATTTTTTAATTCCAGGGTTCTGAAACTAAAGAATAAATTCCAGTCTTCTTGGCTTTTTGACTAAGTGGTCCATAACATCTTGAGCTGAAGGTACAAACTCTTTATTAATAGATAACGATACCAACCATTCAACCTGCTCTTGACATTGTATTTCTAACGCTGAAGACACAATGACAAATACAAGGTACAAGTGACAAGAGACAAAATTATAATAACACGAGTATCAATGCTATAACCAGAGCTGAGCAGTAGCGTTCTGTAACTTTTGGTAATGTATTCCATGTATTCATAAGCTACTGTGAAAAGTAGCTAGCTACTAAAACAAGCTACTTAAGCTACTTTTGGTAGTTAAAGTTACTTTTATTGCTCAAGTTACATTATTTTTCCAGAAATATCTTATCCTGCCTTGTTTAGACTAAGTTTCTACTCATCTCTGTACCTTGTACCTATGTCCTATAATGTGTCCTGTTTTATTCTCATTTTATTCACATCACTGTGATCAAAGTGAACTTAATAAATTTCCAGTGGTTCTTGACAAAAATATGAATACTGCAGTTCCTAGAGTAAGTTAGAATTTTATTTTCGTATGATAATATCATGAAATTAAATTAGGTAAGGTACAGGGTGTTTCCTCATAATTTGACCCCTATCTACAACTTTAGCTATATGCGGTAGAAAAAAAACTCTAAACATGAAAGTTGTACGGTTTCATCGGTAGTATATTTTGGCGCTTCTAAAACAAACAAATTTAAATCGCAAAATCATGATAAAAGACCAAATAATTTATTTTTTAAAGGAACACCCTGTATATTTTTATCTCCAATGAAAGTCCTTTTTCTTCTGTTTCATATATTTTGATATTTAGTTCAGCTATTTTTATGCTATTTTAGTTTAAAAATACATTGACAACTTTAGTAGCATAAAAACAGCTGAACCAAATATCAACATCCATGGTATATTTGGAAACAGGTGAAAAAGGACTTTAATTAGAGTTAAAAAATATACAGGGTGTTCTATTAAAAAAAAAGAGATTTGGTCTTTGATAGGGTAGAGGTCAAAAATATGAGAGAACACCCTGTACATTGATGATGGCGATTGTGCATATTTTTTTGTTTTCATTAATTTAACTTTTAAAAAAGTAGCTTAAACAGTAGCTTCCACCATTTCAATATGTAGTTAAGTTACAAATAGCTTAGCTACTTTTTTAAAGAGGTAGTTGAGCTACTAAGTAACTAAGCTACTTACAACATAAAGTAGCTTGTAACTTGTAGCTAGCTACTTTTTTCAAGTAGCTTACCCAGCTCTGGCTATAACCCAGAATAAATGGATACACGATACAAAATTTCGATTTTTTGGTATTCTGTAATTGGTATTCTGCATCTGTCACTTGTATCTTGTAATTGTCATTGTGTCCTTAGCCTAAGATACAGTTGCGGACATTGGAATTGGCACTTTTTGAACGCACCTTGTATGAATTTGACTTTTCTAACAAGCCGTTAATGCCAAAATTTTGTCAATTTTCACTTTACATATACCTTTTCAAGGTAGAAAATTAACGTTCTGACCACAGATTAGTTCTGCTGTGGGATCACGAAACTCGATATTCGTTTGAAGTTTGTCATCTTTGATCGAAAATCGAAAAGAGTTGATCATGACATTCGACTGATCGAGTTATTACGTTCGAAATACCTTGACAGGTTCAGAGGTCTCGAATTAGGTTAAAGGACCCCGCACACCTCTTGTAAGTATTTGGTTTTCTTTCTGTCAAACTCAATGAAATTTTGATATGTGTTAGACCTTGACTTCCTGATAAAAAGTTCTCATGGGCTCGAACCAATCCTATGACTAGTTTTTGAGATACAGATAGTTCAATGTTCAAGAAATGTACAGTAAGAATGGCACACACTACACTACATAAACATCCCCCGTAATGTGTCAACATTTTACTTCATTGCCACACAGGTAATGTCAATATCGTATTAGATTGATAAATCAGTGGTAAACATGATAGTTTTAATCTGGTTTTAATAAACAGTTGAAGGAAAAATATATTCGTACGCCGCTGCACTGAATAGATTTAATGGTTAGAATTTTGACTTAATACGAGGGATGTTAAAAGGTTACGTGCCAATTGCAATGGTTCACACTGTACACAATTTATGTCAGGTGACAGAGCGCTGAGCGTGAGGATACCTGTCCATCCTGGTATATTATTAAGTTGTTGCACAAAATGTGTACATTTCTTGGACATAGAAGTACCTGTATCCCAAAAACTAATCATAGGATTGATTTGGGCCCATGAGAACTTTTTATCAGGAGGGCTTTGTTTGAAATTGATGCAGATGACGTCACTCGTGATTAGAAATTGGTGCACGGCTTATTTGACATGCACTTTTTCAATCGCAACTGACGTCATTTGCGTGCTAAAATTTCACTGAGTTTAACAGAAAACCAAATACCCATAAGAGGTGTGCGGAGTCCTTTTATCTGTTTTGTCAATATATCATGAAATTCTCATAAAACAAACAGCAACCCTTTTCTCTTTGAAAGGCAAGATTTGTAGTTATTTCGTCTTAATGAACGACAACTACAGAACTCATAAATTTGACATTTGATACGACCGTACTGAGGTACCAGAGAGAATACTTGCTAGGGCAGTTACTCTAGAAAATATGGTGCTACATAGGTACTTCAAGATTTTATACCATAGGCTCTTATCAGAGATGCATTGGTGAAGAGTATAATTTTGGTACAGCTCAAGTTTATTGTTGAAATTTGAAACATTAAAATTGAAATTGGAATTACAAAACACAAAACAAATATTTACATAACCAAAAAAGTGAGATCACTTTAATTCAATTGACGTGTCTCGCAGAAATAGAAAAAAAGAACTTAATTGTAATAAATACAAGTTAGAAAGTAATAAAAAATTACGTGCGCGCGCAACTCGTGGCTGCAGTGTAGCCAGATTGTATTGTTGCAAAACAAATGTAGACAATACAAATCGAACATTATAACATTAAAGAAGTGATATATTGTCAAGTGTTTTACAACGCCTTAAAACAGACAAAAGAAGAGCTTTAAAGTGTATGTTAAACATCCATGGCACTTTTATTTTGATAAATGTTTCATCCGGCAATATCGCACAATGAAAATATGTCAAGTATAATTTAACATAACCTTAAACGACATTGGGATAAGTTCAAGTAATACGTAAAGTATTAGTTTGCTCCTTGTCGAATTACACGTTACAAAGAAAGAAGAAACGATTAATTCTGAACCTGACCCTGAATACGAATATGACACAAACCCGTCCCAAACTCGATTTTCATTGGATGCTTACCTGCAACCCACGAGTTGCGCGCGCACACCAGGTATTACGAGACACGTCAATTCAAAGTGCGTAACATTAGCAACAATCGAATAAACTCGATTTCCCACTCGATCGAGTTTCGTGAACCCGATGCTGACCTTAGAGCAGGTAAAGGTAAAGGAGTATAGTAACATATAGAGTTGGAAAATGAAGCCGTTTTTTTGGACCCCCCCCCCCGTATTTACGCCACTGTCTGAAACGTATAGTTTTTAAACTAGTGAGAATAACTCACATTCGAGTGAGTCAGGTTAGTATCGTAATTAAACAACAGAAAGTTCTCGTGCTTCACACGGTACGCTAATACGGTACCGCTAACAATTTCACATGGTATTTTATAGTTCTTGGATACGGAGACATATAAATCCTCTAATCCCTTATTCTGTTTACATTTTGACAGCTGAGTTGAGTGATCTAAAGGTGGGTTCTATGCAGGCTTACGACGGCGTTCATACCGCTCCACTTAACTTAAGATTTAACCTAACTTAACAAAAAGTTCACCAACTTTTATCTTTTCCTTAAATTTCTTGAATTAAATGTAGATTTAGGGCAATCCGCAAACGCGAATTTTGACATACGTCATACGTATCATTGGCAGAATATTTAAATCTTAGATTAAATTAAAGTTCCTAATGAACGCCAAAAAATGAATTTAAATTAATTCTTAAGTTAGGTTAGGTTAAGTTAGGCTAATTTTTTTGTTAGAACCCACCTTAACTCAACTTTTTCTGCGTTTTTTCTAACTTTTATTATTCCTGAAGATTCTTGAGCTTGATTAATTTTCCCTTGGTGTTTTTTATGGAAAAATATTAAAGGTTGCTGTTTTTGCAGATATATAAATGGAGCGTAAACTAGTTTTGACATAGCGTAGCGTTACGGTAAGGCATCCGCTAAGTTCCGTTAGATAACGGGCTCCGATAACGCTAATACCGTGAGAACTGTCATACTTGTCAAATAACGTTACGGTATTTGAAATTTGGACGGCACGAGAACTCTCTATTGATGAATAGATGGCTGCGGAACTCGCTGCGCTCGTCCCGCAGAGGTCCACCCATAAGTTCCATAATAATTCACTTATTTGTATTTGAATAACTTGTCACATTATGTTACTAGTTTAGTAACATTATTAATTCCTGTTGAAAGGCGAATTGACAAAAAATGAATAATCATAATCTTACTAATTCTGACTTTATTGCGGATTTTATGGGTGAACCTCTGCGGGACGAGCGCAGCGAGTTCCGCAGCCATCTACTCACCAATATACTGTTGAACTGTTCAGATAAGATATTCACCTAAAACGTTTAGTTTTTGAACTAACTTACTTTACAAAATATCATTGTTTTCAAAACATCATAAGTCTATTAATAATAACTCAATCGCTTTGAGTTTTTAGTATTTCTTACATTGAGCCTTTAAGAAAAAGTCTTCAAAATTTCAACTCTCCACTCACTTTAGTTTTTGAGTGAAAAAATTGTTTGTAAAGTCTTACTTTACAAAACATCATTATTTTCAAAAAACATAAGTCTATTAATATAAAATGCCGTTTTGAAATTTGAAAAATCATTTTTATTTTTTCCTGAGTCTATTTGAAGAGCAATTTTAAAATAAATGTCACTCCATCATTGTCACTTTTTTCCCTTTACAAGATGTTGCTACCAAATTTCAGATTCGACGTTTCGTCTTTGGGCGGCCATCATCAACTTTATTTTTTTAAATTCGGACCCTTATTTTTTATTTTCGATTTTATGAGCTTCTGATGTTATCAGTAGAATTTACATTAATATCAGTACTTATATCAGTAGACCAGTGGCCAAATCAGAAGATCTACTGATAAATTAGTAGACCTGGCAACATTGAAAATATTAAACATTGTATTTGACTTACCCTTCCAAGACTGTTCTTTTTTTGTTCCTCTTGTTCTGTAAGCTCTAACCCTTCAGTTAACACAGCCAATTGATAAGTTCGTTTTTCCAAATCGCTCTGATACTTAATAGGATTGGCCAAGGCGTCCGCAAATTCCGATAAACCGTCGGGGACGTAGTCTTTGACGACTACGTGAAGAAATAACGTAGCCAGAGGTAGGGGTTGGCCTAAAAATGTTCCATCTTTAATATGAAAATCCCCGGAAGCATCGTAAAAACATTTCCCTAAAGAGTACATTAAGTTAACTCGGTTCGCAAAAGTGGCTGCATTTCCGGACCATTTTCCTCGATCCCCTTTTCGAGTGAGTGCTCTGGCATACTTCCAACGGATGGGATTTACAGGACACGGTGTTATACATGTTAGTTCGCAAATTATTTTACCTACACACAAAGCCGGAAGCGATTTGTAGGTATTATTATAATATGATGAAAGTATATAGAGTATAGAGTGGTTTTGTTGGCTAAAACTACTTGGGTTATACTTTAGATTGAAATAGAAATCACAACCACAGGTGTTCCAACAACGATAAAACAAAAATAGCGTCTCTATCCGTTGAAGATAAAAGTTAAAGACACGTTGCGGACAATTTCCATGCAAATATTCCCTTGGAAGTGTGCCAAAGTACTTTCAAAAAATGAAATCGTAAAAAACTCTAACGTTGTCGTAAAAGCGTCTCGACCTTTTGAATAATATAGCCGGGAGGGGTTTCAAAAGTGATTTTATTTTTCATTGTTCCGCTCTCTATGTTTTTTTTATTACCTAATTCATTCCTTAAGTTCACGTGTCGATAACCAGGACACAATCCCATAACAGGCAAAATCCTGTGTCCAATAAACCTACCGCCTTCTTCATAGGCAACTATCCTGATTGACGCTAAATCCGGTAAAACGACTTTTTTGAAAACAAACGGTTCATCGTCGTAAACTGGATTTATGCCATTATTCGGTACCACTTTGGTTTTGAAGCGTTTTCTTACGGTGTCAGCTGGCAGACCGTACATTTCTACTTCGACGTAAGTGCCTACACGTTTGTCGGTTAAAAATTGACCGGATAAAACTTGAATTCTGACAGTGCCTGCTACAATACCATCGACTGTCGCTTCGGCGAACGGATAAAATCTACGGTCTGTGCGTCTCATGAATTCAGGCTGAAATTTACAAAGATGTTTGTGATTAATTGAATACTATTAGTGGAATAAAATCGCATTTCCAACTCGTTGAAAGAGAGTGATTCGGAGGTATAACCAGATGAAACCTTTACCATCTTGTATAATAGAACACTTTCAAACATATAGGAAATGGGTTTATGTACAAGTTTCCTTAGTATGACCGAACTTTGAAAATGACCCTTAAACGTGACTGGAGTTTGAATTTAAAAATCTACTTTTTTTTAAACATTACCGGTTGTCTAATTCCAAATGCCGAAGAATACCTCCCAGAGCCACGTGTGGCTTTGGACGCTTTAGACCTCGCTTTAGACCCAACCGAGATACCAGCTTGTATAATATGATGCCCAAAGAAACTGTCGTGTAAAGTCAGCTTAAGAATTTTTAGCTTACTGCTTTCTTTTCAATAGCTTGGGCGCCCCAGGGCGCCTTGAATCACGATTTTGAAATGTGTCAACTGTTCTTTTTAATCGGGGCGTCAAGCTCCGGGATCATCTATCCCCACCGCTAGCGCCTCAGCGAGGCGTTGTCTCAGATTTACCAAGTAGAAATTGTTCAAACTTTGCTTTGCAAGTGTCATATTACATTGTCACATCCATATTGCATTTTTGTTTAAATTGTGTCGCTACTTATGATAGTTCATGTTTTAATTATTACCGGCTCTTGATCACCCTTGAAGAAATGATGTAACAAATGGAAATTTCACTTGGTACTTGATTAAGGCAAGAAGAAGTTTGAGATTTACCAAGTAGAAATTGTTCAAATTTTGCGTTGCAAGTGTTACATCCACATTGTCTTTCCGTTTGAATTTTGCTTTGCAAGTGTCACATCTCATTAGCTGCTTTCTTTTCAGGAACTTGGGCGCCTCAGTGCGCCCTGGATCACGATTTTGAAATGTGTCAACTGTTCTTTTTAATCCGGGCGTCGAACCTCGGGTTCGTCTATCCCCACCTCTAGCGTCTCAGCCAAGGGTCGAACCTCCACAGCTCCAGTGTCCGAACTGTCACTAGTGTCAGATAATTATATGTCCCTTTACCGTTTTTTTGAGAGCGTGCGCTGACGCGCCCCAGGGGCCTTATTCTGTGAGGAACGAACCGTTCGATTCGGTAGAATTTCTTCGATTGTGACGACATTTTCGGTTTGTTTTTCGCGCTACCTAACCGAAAATGACGTCACACAATCGAAGAAATTTTACCGAATCGAACGAACCGTTCCTTACAGAATAAGGCCCCAGGGCGTCGAAGCCCGGGGTTTCAAAGCTCTGAAAAGAAAGCACCTATTGTTATATCATTTGTCAACTAACAACACAGCAGGGGCGAGTACAGGAATGACACATCCAGTGTGAAAGTGACAACGGTGCGACGCCCTAGCTGTTCAAAAATGCTAGACGGTGCTATGGGCCCAATGGCCAATTGTCAATTCAGGCACACCCATAAAATCGCACTCGAAACCAGTGCGTTATTTCTGAACTCGGCCCAGGGTTGCGTTTAGAAATAGCACTTTGGGTGTGAGTCGTGAGAATGACCCTGGAGTAACTCTAAACCGTTTATAAATCAACAGGTGCATACTCGGGACTCATTAATACTGAAGCTTTACAATCAATTAATATTCGCAATTGTATCCTACCTTATCTCCTTCTTTGTCATACTCATACTATCAAGTAGGCCTTGGAATGTCATTTTCATGGAAATTAAAATAAAAACAAGTTTCCAATGCGTTATTTCGGAAATTTTGATATATAAGTATAATCATTATTATTCAAGTTTTTAACAGCTTTTCAATAAATTTTAAGCAAAAAACCATTATTTTGTCTACTCGAGATGTGGCAACGTCGCTTTCAATAATAATTTGCCACTTTTGACAGTCGGCCATTTTAAGTTACACGTTTTCGTTTTTATCCAGTTTTTTTTTTTAATTTTTCACTTTTCCGGGGCTTTTCTGATCGGGAAAACCTATTTAAAGTGCGAGGCTTTGAATCTTCTTCATTTTCTGCCAAAAATGTCCGCTTTTCAATGGGGTAAGTAACGAAAACTTTAGTTTTATCAAGTAGATTTTGGAATGTAGTTTTTTCGTTGATTTTCTTTTTTGAATTTTCCGGCACTTTGAGTCCGCGTCCTTTTCTGTCACTAGATAGACCACGCACTTAAATTATATTCTACTTTATCTCTCTCTTTGTCTTCTCATCTATAATCACAATCAAATGAATTCTATTTCATCTCCTTCTTTGTCTTAATCACTATAATCACTGTTTTGTTTCCAAAAATACAAACAACTTTGCCTCAGAAATGGAAATTGTTACTTTTCCAGGCAGCAAATTTATCGGAAAAATCTATAAAAATATTCGGTTCGAGATTGTAATTGTGGCAACATCGCCTTTAATCAAGTAGGCCTTGTAATAAATATCATTTGCCACTTTTGACAGTCGGCCTTTTTAATTGTTTTTATTCAATTTTCCTCTTTTTCAGGGCGTTTTCAGTCTGGAAAACTAATTTAAAGTGCGGGGCTGTGGATTTTCTTCAATTTCTGTCAAAAATTCCAGCTTTTAAATGCTGAAATGAAGGGCGAAGGGTAAGTGAGATAAATTTATTTAAAAACAACCTTTTTTGGGAATTTTAAGTTTTAAAATCAATATTGAGGCTGAAAACACAATGACAAATACAAGGTACAAGTGACAATTACAGAATACCAAAAAATCGAAATTTTGTATCGTGTATCCATTTATTCTGGATTATAGCATTGATACACGAGTTATTATATTTTTGTCTCTTGTCACTTGTACCTTGTTTTTGTTATTGTGTCTTCGGCCTAATTAATTATTTAACGGCTATTTTATTAAATTGTCCATTTAAAATGATTTTTCAAGTGGCCAACACCGATTGTAGCCAACTTCACTCAGGTTTCAATCAAGTAGGCCTTGGAATGCGATTTATAAAGCCTTGACAGTGACATTTCACAGTCGGCCAATTTGAGTGATGCGTTTTTATTTTTGTCCCGAGTTTTCCTCGAATTTTCCAGTTTTTAAATGAGGTAAGTAACGAAAACTTCAGTCTTATCAAGTAGGCTTTGGAATGTCATTTTCGTTGGTTTTTGCTTTGGATTTTCCGCTTTTTCAGGGTCTTTTTAATCGAAAAAGGGTAGTTTCTTACTCTGTTTTTTCCAAAAATACAATCAAATTAACATTAAAAATGGAAATTCATTACTTTTCCAGGCTGCAAATTCAACATCGCTTTCAATCAAGTAAGCCTTGTTATATATGTCACTTGTCACTTGTGACAGTCAGCAATTTTGAGTGTTTTTATTTAATTTTTCTCAAATTTTCCGCTTTTTCAGGGCCCTTTCAGTCCAGAAAACTCTCCATCTACTTCAGCAATTTTGACGTTAATATTTGGAAAAATGCAGAAATTAATAGGACGTCGAGGAGTTTTTGAACTAATGAGAAAGTAAAGATTCTGATTTGAGAATGAGCGAGTATTTGAACGAATCAGTGAAAATTCTGAATTGTTAATGAGTAAATTTTTCAACTAATGAGAAATGACAAATATGAACTCCTTAAACTGATTATAGAGGGAAAAATTGGAGGAAAAAGAGGTCCAGGCCGTAGACGAATATCATGGCTAAAAAATCTTAGAAAATGGTATGGTGTTAGCACAACTACATTTTTCAGAAAAGCAGTGGACAAGGTGCAAATTGTGCTGATGAACAAAGAGAACATGGTACTTGAAGAAGTGATCGAGTGATCGCCTATGATGATGATGATGATAATAAGTGAATGAATTAACACAACATGTAATATTTAGAAAAATGTCATTTTTCAAATACGAGCTCAGTCACGTTTGAGGGTCATTTTCAAAGTTCGTTCTTACTAAAAAAAACTTGGTTTAGGTTTCATTTGATTATACCACCGAATCACTCAAAGCCACAATTTCAATGTGATTTTACTCCCTATTAAAAATGACCAATGTTTTTGCTGTATAATAATAATTATTACCATACCTTAAGTAAATAGCCACATCGGAAATTGTATTCGAATATGCCCAGGTTCAGCTGCATAGCCAAATCGAGCGTTTGGAAATTCAACGCCACCAATTGACAGCCGGCATTCCAGAATACTTGCGGCATGAAATTTGACGAATCGAATCTGGAATAATTGAATTTTAATTGGAAAAGTTTTGTCAATAATTCAATATAAATTTACCTGGTTCCTGCAGGATATACTCTGCTTAGCTGATGTTTGTTGTAGTTAACGAATTGTATGGGGTATTCTTTTAATAGAGCGGTAGCTTGACGTTCATCGAATGAAGACATTTCGTAGGAGCGATTTTTTTCTTGAAAACAAATCAATATTAATTATTCAGGTCTATTTCTTACACAAACAGCAAGCATGTTAATGAAAACCTTACTGTAAGTTTGACGTGATCATATAATGTATTATTGGAAATTCTTACTTTTAGCATTTTCAAAACTGGAAAAATGCACCGGCTGCACGTAGTTAACCAAAGCCGATATTTCGGCTCCAGCTTCGGTTTCAGTGGTCGGAGGTTTCGGTTCGACGCCGCCACTTTCGGTACTTTTATTTTGCGGGGCTTCGCCTTCCATTGTTTCAGGTTCTTCGTCCGTACTCGATTCTTCGTCCTCGGTACCCGTGGAATCTTTTGAGCTCTGGACAAATATTTCATTATTTGACTATATTTATTATCATACATGAAAATTACCTGTCTAGCTTGTGACAATGGTGGTGGATGCGGTTGAACGTCCCCATTACCAGTTTGTTGGTCCGATGAATTTTGGTCTAAAACCGGAGCCACCGGTGCCGGATTTCTTTTATGATGATGGTGATGATGATGGTGTTTCTTTTTATTTTTAATTATAATTTTACGCTTCAGCATCGAGGGTGGAGGAAGTGAGGCACCTAAAGAAAGTCGAATTAATTCAAAACTTCGCAGTTCGAGAAAACTTTTTCAATAATGTAGTTTTCTGTTTAAATTAGAGGAACTAAAACTTTTCAGTTTTATTTTCGAATATTAACGATGTCTGCGGGAATGACGCTTCGGTCTGAATCTAGTAATTATATTTACTGAAATACGTGTACGATTCCTTTAAATTGATGAATCAGTAAAAAAATCTGCACATATATCGATTCCTGAGAAGGTTTCATGGGTGAAAAGAGTATAACTATTCAGTGGTATGAAAAGAAGCAAATTCAGTGTACGCAGAACGCTCATGTTCAAAAGAAAGGGTTATGAGAAATGAATCACTGTTGAGAAGTTGGGAAAAGTGAACGAACAAATATCAAAGGATATTGGACAGGATCATATATAGCTCATAATAATAATTATCCGAATCTTGCTAAAACTTTAGTAGTATTAACTTCAAACTGCAGTAAATGTGCTAGGGGAGTTCTGGCCCAAAATCAGTAATTTTCTCATGTGAATCTTCATAAGAAAATCTAAGGTCCGTTCTGGCAATTTTCGTACCATTTTGGAGTGGGAATTAAATTTCCAGGAATAAGCCCCGCCCTCTTTTCAGTGCCCGTGTTTTCCATCGTTCAGGCTCATTGATCGTACTTGGCTTCAAGCGGCTCAGCAAACACACATAACACCTCGTGACTTGTATACAGATGTAATGACCCGGAAAAATAGACCCGATATTTACAATGTATTTACTGTAAAAATTTAATGTAATCAAATAATCAAAAACTGAATTTCCTGTATTTCAAATCAGTATCAATAAATTGAAAATGAAACAAATTAACGTTGACCCCAAATACGTTCAAAATTATATTATTTCGTCACCAAGCCTGTGTCATCATCTAAAATTCCTAAAAATATTAAAGGCCATATTTAAGGCCAAAGTAATTAAATAGGTGATTTATGGCGCACGTGTGCCGGTCTTCTCTATGTTATATGTCCAATTCTTACAACCAAAGCTGTTGACCCCGATAAACCAGCAAATTGCGACATAATTATTCGATTTTACACAAAAATTTCGAAGAGATTGCATCATCCTCTTAATGATTGATGGACAAAGAATTTTTGGGGGGATCGAATAATATAAATACAGCGGTTTCAGTTGAGATCAGTAGTTAGTTCAGTTCAGTTTGAGTTAAAGACTACAGTACCTAGGATGTCAGTCCGGGTTAAAATTCGCAAAGAGTTTCTTTTATTGCCTCGGGGGAAAACGCGTTTGATTGAACTTTGAAAAAAGTAACGGAAAATCGAGAAATAAAGCACATTTAAATTCATTCAACATTATGTACGAGCTCTAAGTAGTTTGTTTCTCTCTTTTGCGAATAGACCCCTCCACAATTTTATAGGTAGCCGCTCCGAAGAAATAAATACTATCAATATATACCGGGCTCCATTTACATAACCTAAAACTCATAAAAGTTGGCAGACGCCTCGTGCAACTAGCACGAGGTGGATTTTATTATTAGTTACGTCATCATCAGTACGAGGCACCTTGAATGAGGTACCAAGACACGAGGTGCTACGTGTGTTCGATAAGCTGCTCGGAGCCAGGTACGGTCAATAACCCTGAACGATGGAAGACACGAAAAGGGGGCGCGGCTTATTCCTGGAAATTCTACCCCCAGTCCAAAATGGTACGAAAATTGCTAGAACGAACCTTAGATTTTCTTATGGAGATTTACATGAGAAAATGACTGATTTTGGGCTCGTACTCCCCTAGCACATTTACTAACTGCTTCGAGTAGTTTCTGGATGAAATCACAGGAAAAATCAAATTTTAGAATGATAAGTTCATATTTGAGGACTTCCTCCTTGCATCAATATCACTATCGTTAAATTCAAATAAATATAGTAAAAACTTAGGCTTCTAACCTGGTTCTAGTTTATGACTTTCCAACGGTGCCTCCAAAAGCATATCACCGAAAATCTCCTTACAATAATTGGCAATTTTCGTTTGTTGCCTGGGGTTGCAGTGGTTCTCGAACGAGAGCACTACAGGATAATCTGACGTTTTGAAAGCGGTTTCGGCTATCGCTTCCAGCACTTCTTTGGCCGATATTTCAGGTACGAAAGTGTAACCGTGCACGATGACAGGTTCTTCGGTTTTGCCATTCCAAAAGTCCAACTCGACACATCTGGAATACAAGAAAAAGAAATTATTAAATCGATTGCAATTATTATCAATTTGTATGTTTTCAATGTCAAGAACAAAGCATTGTAATTTGAGTATTTCCAATTTGAGAGAAAACAGGAGGAACGCGAAACTGATGAAGAATTTGTAACTGATCTTATAACTTAGTTACACTTTTCTAGTTCTGCAAAGCACCCAGAAAAAAAAGATAATTTTCTAAAAGAACCAACTACCTATAGATATGCGGTGACCTTAACTTTACTTGGACGGTAATATGGTTATTGGTGAAAAATGATCATTATTCAAGGGTTTGTTTAGGTACAAATCAAACCAATGCATGTTGTTACGAGTGTTAAGCTACATGGGGTAGTTGAGAGAGAAACGAGTGAAGGGAGGGATATGACTCTTGAAGGTGGCCTAAAGAAGAAATCCTACTTATAGGGAAGCTCCGACTAGCCCACAAAATTCCGGTGAGTGGAGTCTGATTGTTCCTTTTAGGCTCGTAACAGAATTGGCGCCCAACGTGGGGCCACCTGTTTTCAACCCTGTAGTAAGTCGGTTTCTGAACGAAAGATATTTCAAAACAGGAAACAGCCTATAGCATACAAAGAATCAAATCAACACCAAAGAAAGGAAGGTTTAAAGGTGATCATCTTTAACTGAAATCCTCTAGGATTGGAGAACTCGTGATCGCATCGCAATCTGAAAAGAATTGAAAATTCTAAATGTCAAAAATCAGCTGTAAAGGGAAAATAAAAGAAAATCACTGAATATTAAATTGTAAATATGGTTTTGTTCATCTTGCTTGATTCGCTCCCTTCAGGATTTAACAATGATGTCTGCCTCTATCTAGCTATACATTGTTCTGACTGTTAAAAACCCTTGGTATGCTGAACAATACTTATGATGGTAATAATTACGGGGTGAGTATTTCTTTTGACCCCAGAGCTTCACTACCAATCAGCTGGAGTGTAACCATCTGATTTCAGAACCCAGGACAACACACACATGTGACCCAACTAACTTACAGGGCGTTCCTTGATTGTTTGCAAGTCTTACAGCGACCCAGGAATCTACCTTACTCCAGATTGAGGGTCCTCCCCAAATCTTCTTGATGGTTAGGGATGATGTAGCAACTAGGGGGAGGGCAGTAAGGCCGACTGGAGTGGTTTAGAAGGTACCTTTGGAGTATGGGGTTGATGGGCGACTGGAACTCTTGGTGTATCAGAGGAGAAACAAGGCCGCCAATAACGGGAAGAATGAAAGTGAAGAGAGACTAGAGAAAAAAGGCCTAAAAAAAACATGATTTTCGCACATGGTAAGCTAACAGTAAATATAGTAAAGAAGTACCTATTCTAAAAGAACTTTAACGTTGTAGAACTTATCTAAAAGAAGAATAGCAGAAAATGAAAACTTACCAAAATACTTTGGCCTTTTCCAGGCACAGAACACAAAGAAAACGGCTAAATTTGAGACTTTAACCCTTTAAAACTCACACTCGCATTGTGGTGCTATAATCTCAGCAACCCACAATTGGGAGTTGGGGCTCAAACTTATTTTTGGTTTTAGATCAGCAAAAACGCTTAGAGGAAACTCTCAACGTGCTCTTGAAAGCTTCCCTCTCTTTTCTACCAAAAAAAAAAAAAAACGATTTTTAATCCTTTCTCTTGCAGAAAAAAACCTTGAGGAATTTCTACAGGATCTATTGGGGGACACTGGTACTGTTACTGACTGAATGCCTGGTACCCACCAATTAGGGGAAACTATAATGGTACAAAGGAAGGTAGTACGGAAATCTGTAATAGAACCATTGGTGCTATAAAGCAAATGTAGTAGCAATCTGTAATAATATATAATATGAAATGTTTAAATAAATAACTACAATTATTGTTAGATGGTACTGAAAAATAGCGAAATGAAAACTATATAGGTGAAAGGTAGAATGACAACTTAGTAATAAATTTCTAGATGGGGGTACTTTTACTTGAAGGGGAAAAATAATCCCAGTAGGTATAATATGGGGTTTCTGCAACCTCCGTCCTCCGGAGGAGCTTCCAGCACGCCTGCACGCGCCATCTATCGGTACCTGCTGCACGTGCCATCTATAGGTTCAGTTGCCTATAATAGCCCCGGGGCTTTTGTATTTATCGGTACCTGCTGTAGGTGTCCGAATCGGGGCCTTTTGTAATTATCGGTACCTGCTGTAAGTGTCCGAGGCGTTTTGGAGATGGTTTCTCGCTGCGGTCAAATTCCGGGAAAACCCCCAAAAATTTAAGGTTGGCCCGGGTCAAACCCCCAGAATTTCAGATCAAAGGCGTTGCCGATCTAGAGATTTTTCCACGGTATCGAAATAGTTCTCGGGCTCAGGTGCCCCCGTTAGCTAGACCCTGTTTTTAGGCATGCCTTATTTGATGCAATTGGCGATGAACTTCAATGAAACAATCATTTATTTTTATTTTTTTTTAATGTAAACAAAGAAAATAAAACACAGTAATTCTAGGGTGACTTGAACATTTTTTCATGACAGAGTAGATTATTTTCGTTTCTTCTAATGTGGGTATGCTTTTTAATTGAACTTTTGCAAAAGCAATAATATTTTTGGCAAGTATAAAGTTCTAAAAACCAAAAAAGTGGTAAGTATTGGTTTCTCTATTTACTTACACAAAAAAAAAACACTCACAAAGTCCATTCTGTAAATTCAAAAACTGCAGCTGGTAAATGTTTCATTCATGTAACAGCAATTGTTTGGCTCAGTTTCAATTTCATCACCCTTGCAGCAGTGGTTCAAAATGTTCTCTACATACATCCACCATCAGATATCCGAAATATCAATGCTAAGCTGAAAACTGATAGCTATTCCAACGATTTATGGATTCCGCTTTACTACCGACAACGATCGTACACGTACTTTCCAAACAGTACTTCCAGAGTCGCGGAATAGATTCTACCAGTATAAATTGCAAGTGGAATTCCTGAACAACAGCACTTTAGAAAGCAGGGAATGGACAACTATCGGAATTGGTCCGCAGCAAGAAACCATTTCTAGAATCTACTGTAGAAACGAAACTATAAACTCTACTTCAACCGATTCGAGACCTGATGCATATATTTACTTAATCTATACCTATTTAATAACCATAGCTGTAGTTTTTGGTATTTTATTGTCTAGAATGTTCTACCTAATTATAGGAAAAAGTAAATGTGATTATTTTAAGGTTTAATGAATAAAATTTTATCGAAAAATTGTTGTTTCATTGAACTTCATGGCCAATTGCATCAAATAACACACAAACGGGGGCACCTGAGCCTGGGAACTTTTTCGATACCGTGGGAAAATCTCTAAATTGGCAACGCCTTTGATCTGAAATTTTGGGGGTTTGACCCGGGCCAACCTCAAATTTTTGGGGGTTTTCCCGGAATTTGACCGCAGCGAGAAACCATCTCCAAAACGCCTCGGACACTTACAGCAGGTACCGATAATTACAAAAGGCCCCGATTCGGACACCTACAGCAGGTACCGATAAATACAAAAGCCCCGGGGCTATTATAGGCAACTGAACCTATAGATGGCACGTGCAGCAGGTACCGATAGATGGCGCGTGCAGGCGTGCTGGAAGCTCCTCCGGAGGACGGAGGTTGCAGAAACCCCATATTATATCTACTAATCCCATAACAATGTAAATAACATTCGAGAATCTGGCCTTGACTCTTATAAAGAAGAATCCTTTGGTGATCGAGTTTGTGCACATCCATATTCAAATTTATATATGTATGTAGGTACAGGGTGACTTAAGTAAATTTTTCTTTTCGAACGCGCCCTGTTCTCCTGTAAATCCAACCTAATATTTGTCTGGGGAGGGGTTAGTTCTGTGCAATTTACTGCGACTGCTTGCGGATTATCAATTATCAGTAAACATAGAGCAGTGATCGAACGAGCAACGAGCGTTGCGTTTATGGTCGAGGTGTTTCTTGAAAAGAACAATTCGTATTCGACGTATACGTGATGGTCCATCGAAAATTTTATTGAAATCGTGGGTTGAAAGATCCAGACAAAGTGGTACAAGTGCAAATTAGAAGCGTACCGGCCAACAGAAGTTTGTCAGAGCGCCAGAGAACGTGCGACTGAAAATTCGAGGCGGATGGATTCGAAAACATGGCATACTTCAAGAAAAAATCTGTTTCGGTTCAATTTCCTAAGAAAATCATTCCATATTGGAAAAATAGGAAAAATAATATAAAACATGCGATGTCTTGATGGAAGATCTATATTACAAATTTATAAAAAATATATTTTAATTACCATACAATTGCGAGAACATAATCACATTATAATAATTAGTTAGCAGGAATTTCATAGTCCCAATAGGCGCAACAGCGTTTGGCTTTCGTCTCAAGCTCAATAAAGCTGGCCTTAAACAGTTCCAAACTATTCATCAATTTTTCATCGAAATTTGTTTTGCCCTCAGTAACTGCCGTTTCAAGTAAATTCAGGCGATCGCAAGTTTTATCCAGGCTTGCCTTGTTGTCACTAGTCTCACTGAGAAGCGTTTTGTATTTGTTTTCCAAACCATCAACATTATCTGAAAGGTTACTAAAATTACGTGAAAAATTGAGGAGAGTGTCTTGATTTATTGAAGCCTCAACAGAAATTTTGTGAATTTCAACTTCAAACTTGTCAACTTTTGCACTTAAAGCTTCAAAATTACTCACTACCGAGCTCAAATTCTTTTCAAAACTTAAAATCTTCTTCTTAGGCTCCTCAATAAGTTTAGTGATATTAACAATGTCAGCCTTGGCAGCTATCAAACCATCAGTAATTTCAGTTCTGGCATCAGCACTTTCTTCTTGAAGCTTTAAAATAGTTGCGTTAGTTTTGCGCATTTCCGAACGCATTTCGTTAACTTGCTCATCTAATTGAGCTTTAATGATTTCACTCAATTCGTCCAGCTTCTTTTTTAGACTCACTTGACTAGCTTTTACTTCTTCAACAAGCTTGTATAGAAA